TAAGTTTCTATTATACATACCTCAATAACTTCCTGCGTCCCTCCCTTAAGGCTATTTTTTGTTTAGCTGCTCCTTCAGATCACTGGTGATCCAAAGTTTGGTACTGTTCTTGTGAGGTTTGTATTATCTACACCAACGTTTACAAAGTCAGTGATACTTACTTAGTCACTGCATTGATGTCTTCACCATATTACTGAGACAGTACATTCCTGTGTGAAGCGTTTAAACAATCTTTCTGGGCTTCTTTAACTTTTTGTACCCATTAAATGGATTTATCTTTAATACAGGTTGCCTCTTATTAAGGGGCTTATAGTCTGAGCAGAGAAAAAATTATTTTTTCAAGAGTTCTTATAGTGCTATGAGTCGTTGACATTTGCATATATCAAGTCCAAGGTTTTGTTTTCTATGGTGCAGCACCTTGCAAACTGTTAGAATGTTGGCAGTGTTGCAGAGAGTGAGGAATTATTAAAGTCAATAGTTATAATACTCAAATGCATTTGACTGTTGTGTATGTAGCTCAGCAACAATGGAACGGATGATATCAAATGCAGTGTGGCAAAACCAGAAGGTAGAATGTAAACAACTACCAAAACAACACTAGTAAGCTCCCTGGTTAAATAATATGGATAAAAACCAACTGCCAGCAGTTTAATAACCGGGCTACAGAGAAAAAAAAATTCCAAGTAATGGATGACACCATTTGCTGTTCACAAGCAGTGTCAACCCACTTAATTGATTTTTTTCAGCCTTCTTCAAATATGTGTGTTCATATGGTCAGAAATCCTGGCAGAGAGAAAATGGATTTAGTGATAGTATACTGGTTAGGTCCTTGCTATGGCTGGAAGTTCTTCTTACTTGCTTCTTAAGGAGATCACATCCCATAATGATTGATGGAAGAGATGGCTTGTATTTAATACTCCTCTCTGTTCTCTTTGTTCATGCTCTTAATCCAAAATCAAATTTTTTTATCACAGCTTGTACTTGCAGAGGTAGTTGAGTATTTTTTCAGCTTTTGAGATGTTAATTATCAGTGTCAAGGTGTAAAAACCAGTTAGCTATGGTTGCAATATTTATCATAATAACAATTGTCCAAAAATAAAAAGATACTTGCAGAGCTACTTCAACGTGCAGCCACCTTAAGCAGTGATATTCTAATAATATATATGTACATTTTTGTTGAAATCTTGGTCTCAACAGAGTCTGATGCTGCATCGAATATTTAAATGGTGAATTGCAGTAAGGAATCTATTTGGTTTATATGTAGGCTTAATTCTACACATACATTTGACTATGCAAAGGGTAGTAAGACTGTTATTCCTGAGAACGGTAAATCGAGCAGTTACTGTGGAGACCCTGAGAGTGAATTCTAGAATGGCACAAGCTGAATAGGGTCAGAGGTCAGGTCTATCTAGAGCTAAAGATCTCAATGGAGACCATCATGGAATGGCTCTGAACATTCCCATGGAGACGATCCCAATGAACCATTTGGAAGGTCTTACTCTTTCTGCTGGTTGTTACAGCAACAGCCACAACGTGACATTGATGCATAATTTGTTTTTGTTTTTTTACTATTCCTTGTTCTAACCTTACTGGTTGGCTTTTATCTAAGATGAAGTAGTCAACAGCAAAGGTGAAGCAAAGTTCCATAAGCAAAACATATATTCTGTGAATGAAAATTGATCAAATTTATTAGTTCAACCAAACCCGGATGGTTCCAGTTTAAATAAGCTCCATCAAACTCCTGTTGTATATATATATATTCTTTAAATTCATTTAAAATTTCACATTACATCTGTCTTTGACAGAAAGTGTGTTTATAGCTTTGCAAGCATTGTACTTGTTAAAAAAGGCAGTGTATCCAAGCAACAGAACAAGTTATTCTATGTGTTTTTCACTTTATGCTGGGAGGATATAAGACCACCTCTGAATACAATGAAGCTAGGCCCACACCAAGAAAGAAAAACAAATAATTGTGCAAGTCTTAAATGAATTGAACTTTAAGTTATTACTTCAAATTGTCTGAAGTTAATAGTAAAAAGGTTCAAAGGTTATTTTGTGGACACACTTAATCTTCATACTAAAGAAATTTAACTGCTTCACCTTAAAATGTTCTTATTTTTGAAACTGGAAACTTATGCTATATATCTATTTGGATACATTTCAATTACAATCAGCCACTAACTACAATTACTCTAAGTTTCATGTGAGCAGATTGCACTGATAAATACAGAAACATTTTGAAATAATTATAGTTAACAGGAAGAACATAAATTAAACTAAAAGAAGCTTTTAAGTCTATTATTTAATTCTGAAGATAACATACAGATCTGCTCCCACTGGTGTTTTTCTTTTGATTATTGACTGTAGATTCTGCATTTGGGAAACATCCAAGACTGTAAAAGTTTTTCCTTGTGTGATTGGTGTTAGTTAGCTAGGGAAAAAAAACAACATTTTTGGCAAAGAATAATCATTTCACCAAGCTTGGCTTGCTTTGAACTTCTCTAAGCTTAAGTAAAGTTGATTTTTGAAGTCTTTTCTATCTGTGTTTCCCCTCAGTGCAATGTATAATGAAGCTTGTAGCAACCTTTTTTGCTCAAAGTTACATACACTTATTTAAAAAATGTATTGCACATGGTTTCGTCTCATTAGTTAAAGTGTTCAGCTAAATGTTTCTTCCAGCAATAGAGTCTGTAAACTCTAGTTTTCTGGCTTTGTGTCACAATTTTGCCTCTGTAAAAATAAACTTTACAATATGTTTTCTTAATAATTCAAATATTAAATGTAGTCTGTTGTGGAGATGCACATTTGTTGGGGAATGATGGGCAAAGGCTATGAGAATTCAATTTCTTAATGTAAATTTTATTTCATTAAATATTAGGCAAAAGGGAAATAAGAGCTGATGATAAAATTAGCATTTTACAAACTACAACAGAAATTAAACGCATGTATATAACATGTTCTTTTGTTAAATCCTCCCAACAGTGGTCAGTGGTCCCAACGTCTAGACCTCCATCTAACCAAGAATATTGTATTTTCTAAAACCTGAAAACTGCAGTTAAAAGGCACTCTCCTTCTAATCTGACATAGTTTGAGATGTTTTGCATAGAAGGATGTAGCTATTAAAAGCTTGGAGAGCTATGGAGATATAATAATAAATACTTGTAGCGTAAACAGACATTAAAGTGTTTATATTTTATTTTGATAGAGGAACATTATATAAGGCACATTTTCATGATGATTTTTATCTTAATCTCTTATCTGTTCTTGTTACTTTACAGTTAATAGTACTTTGTTTTAGTAGGTCACATAAAAACCCCAAATAAAAGGCATAGAATCGACAACACATGAAAGACTTTGGCGGAGCTTCCAATATTTTTCTTAAGTCTTTGCGAATGTGCATTATGTGCATTTACTATTTTTTTTTAATGAATATAGGTGGGAAGAAGAAAGAATAAAAAGAAATGCAGGTTTGTCATCTGTCATCTCAGACATTAAAGGTTCACTGATCTGGATTAGAGAGCCTTTTTATGGTAATGGATACGGAGAAGGAATAACCAAAACCATTAACAACAGTGAAAGGAAATTTGATGATTGTAACAGTTCCAGAAGGTTCAGATAGCATTACCCACCCTTGGAATGAAATGTGTTTTTTTAAAACCAGGAATAGACAAAATATTTGTAAAATACACAGTGTAGTACTTCATATGCTTAATGAGCTGGTGTATAAAATGCAGCACTGATGCTTTTATACAAATGTATCAACTGCTGAGGTCTTAATTTGTGTCTCAGCTAGACATTTAACCACTGGGATGTGGTACATGAATGAGTGTGAAGCTGTGTGTGGGTGTTTGGCTGGCAGCAACACTCTGTGCTTCATGAATCACACAACGCACTGCAACAAAATAGAAAAAGATTTTTTAGATGCTTTAGTAAAGCATTTTTCTACTTAGCAGATGTTTTAAATCTTTAAAGCTTTTGGCAAACACAATTTTAAAACATCATTTTTATTTGTTGCATATAGATCGACATAATTCTTTGGTCTTCCACAAACCACAATGATGGCAGCTTTGTTACATGTAAGCATCAAAAGTTCTTGTTTGGATAAAATAAGATATAAGACTGCTTGCTTTACAACTGCTTGCTACACACACAAAAAATCCTCCTGATCTCTGTACCTGTCATAATCCCGGAAATAGTGATAAATTAAAGCATATGTTGAATGTAAAGACTGACATTCATTATCTTTAAAGTTCTGTTTTTCTGACATGAAAATCATGATGACTTAAGACTCTTAAATTCAGAGTATTCTTCATACAAAAAAGTGATTCTGAGGGGTTTAGACAGAGTTTACACATATAAATCTAATGTGAGAATAAAGAACAGATTATATGATGAAGAAGAGAAAGCTATGGGGCAAATGTGTCAGCCCTCAGCTATTATCAGTCACAATCTGTGCTTTTTTCTCACACCTTTATCACTTAATAATACTAGAACAAGGGAACAATAAATCAGTTTCTTACATTTCTCTTATTTGTTTACTGCTGAAAGCATCATTGTTGCTTCAAGTGAATTGTTAGAGAAAGTATGATGCAAATATTTTTTTCTTTTGGTTTACAGGCCTTTGCCTGTAAGAAAAAAAATCAATAAACTGTCTTGTAATAGTGCCACAAATTCAGACAAAATGTTAATTTATGAAAATGAATTCTGTTTCGCTCTATACAGCAACTTGTATTTGTGCTGCACCATCCTCCCTATTTGTTACAACATTTAATGGACTTGTTAGTCAGCAATACTGGCTGCACTGCATTTCATTTTAAGAAGGACTTTTGTGAACTTCTTTCTTCAGATGTTTTGTTTTTCAAAATTATGGAACATGACTACCGCAGTGTCAGCACTCACAGCTGAGTACTTAGAAGAGCAATCAATAATCGCTCCTCCTCTCTTCTTTTTTTCATGTCCTCATTCATTTCCATTCCCCTCTTTGTCACCCTTTTCTACAGGCAAATACGTCTCCATGGGAGAGGTCCGCTGATCCAAGAATCCCTGTGTCTTTTACCCCTCCCCATCCACCCTTGAACCCTTCCCCCTCTAGTGGAGCCACAATGACTTCCACAAGCCAGCTTCTGGGTTTAGCTGAGATGGGCCTAAAGTGTGACCAGGAGATTGAGAGGAGGTATGAAATCGTACCATCGGTGGTCTGCTCCATGTGCTGCCTCTTTGGAATCATCTACTGCTTCTTTGGTGAGTGAAGCTGTGAAAGAAGACTCCCATCATTCACTTAATGTGAGATTTATGGTGAAGTCATTAGTACTGTGCGTTTAAAATAATAACCATCCCCCTAATCAATAAGTAATTCACAATAATTATTCTCATTCTTACTATAAGGACATTTTTTCAGACTCCGGGCTTAGAAGAAACACAACACACACACACAATTACATATAAAAACACTTCTAGGAAATATAGAACAGCCTTAGATGATAAAACTGGAAAATGTAAAGCACTCCCACAGGAAGAAAGAATAAAGAAAACCCTTTAGAAGCAAAAAAAATAAAAATAGAAGAAATCAGTAGAGGATAGAATTTTTAATTTTTCTAATATTTTAATTTGTTTAAATGTTTAAAATGTTTATACACATTTTGTGTTTTTCTAAACCCCTTAATTTATTTAGAAGGGGCTATGAACTTAGAACTATTATCTTGTATGTATATTTTAGTTCTAGCATTAAGGCACAATAATCCTTATTTAGGCCTATATTTGTGCTAGCACTGAGCGAAGTCACAAATAATAACAACTCTGAATTTCTTAAAGGGAACAAGGAATCTGATAGAGTACCTTGGAAATGTTATAATACTACTGAACCTTTTAGTTTCCGTCACCCTACAATCGCATCTGCTGTTTTATTGCAGTGTAATGTCATAGATCAACAACGTAGGGAATAGTTTTTAGGTGGCAGGAAATGATACATGGGATTCTAAAGTTTAAAAATCTTTGAAGTATTCTTGCTGTCTTTATTTTAAGAGTGCTTTTATAATCCATAAGGGATATTACTGCAACTCACATTATGCTGGGTTTTACAGATAAACTCTAGATGCTGATAGCGTTTGGCTGTAAGATCCCCTGTGGTGGTCTGTCTTGTATCAAATCTAAAGAAGCCACTGACTGAAGAAACTGTTTTGTGACAATGTGATGGAAAGGAGGCTCCGGGTTGTTAATATTGTTGTTTATCTTATGAAATCCTTGCTTGCTCAACCATCTCCACAGGAGTCCCTGTAGAAAACAGCCACCCGCCTTTAATGGGTTGCTGGCACTGATGCTTCAACAGCAACAGATGATGGCAGAGGAGATCACTCTCTTCACAATGGACTTAAAGAATATTTGCAGGATCTTACTGCAAACATTTAAAGCCCTAAAGGCTGATGTATACTAAGAGACCAGGTCGTCTGCATGTGTGTCACCGTGAACGCAATGTGCCTCCACTCCTTCCGCAGAGACTCTGGTGCACCTCTCAAAATTTGTAGGTGACCGCAGGCAGTATTGTAGACAGGAGGTCTCTGATTGTTGAAATCTACATCCACTCTACACTATGTGTATTTCCTGTTTGGTACCTTACCAGCTTTTTTGTTTATATGACCTCCATTGTGGAAAAAACGACTCATGATGTTGGACCAGCTAGAAGAGCAAACTGCGTGTTAACACTGGGACCCTTTTTCCACCTGGATCCCCGCTCTTTTTCACCCTCATGTCTCTCCTTTGTTGCCTAAATTTGCCCCCACTTCCTCACCGCCTTGGCCATATATAGACCCACAGCTAGTTCATGATTGTCGCTCTTGCGTTCTGGCGTGGAATAACATTGTGCAGACTACGCTTCAATATTAAGCATAAATCAAAAATATCTGCAACAAGCTCACTGCGAGACACTGCTACGGGAGTATAACCAATCCTTAAGCTTCCTCTAGAAGTCCAGTCTGTTTAATTCCTTCTTCTAGAGGTCTTTATGGTTGTAGCTTCCGCCCAGTTTGTTGTTTAGGTGAACATCAAGGTATTTAGTCCTCTGAGAGTACAGCCCCCCTGGTGATTCTGTCTCACTGAATACCTGGACTCACTCTGACAAACTGATCTGTTTTCACAGCTACCTTCAAATATTTTCTTTTTGCTAAAAATCAAATCAAAATGATGTAATCTTGGAGATTCCTATTCCTGACCTCAAAAATATGAAAAAATATAAAACATTACAAAAGCTTCTTCCACAAAACATGTTTCTTTTATTATTTTTAGGTATAGCAACACAAGCTAAATTATTTATTCTCAAATCACCGCTCACTGAGTTAAAGAAGGTAAATATTACAGGTAAAGCTATTTTTTTCTTCTCTTACTTTTAACTTTTTGAAACAAAAATAGTTACCTCTCATTCTAGTGGTGGTTCTAGATCAAATTTCCCAGGAGAGCCAGGTGTTTTTTCCTGGGGGCACTGAACAAAAGACCTAAACAAAAACAGGGAAACATTTCATTGTTTTATATATTTACTGAAACAAAGAGCAATTTTGCCATCTAGCAGAAAACTGTTATCCTATTTGAAAATGACAGATGCTAAAAGTGTCATGAAACAAGGACAGATGGACCCAGTATTCAAGGAGACAGTTAGTGGGCAAGTTTAAAACATGTATTTAATGAAAAACAAAACTAAAAGGGGAGCTGCTAGGATCTGTGGCACACGGCAACTGCAGGTGGGAGGCGGGGCACCGCCCAATCTCAGACACTCTGTTAGTGGGAGAAACACAGGTAAGTGACCACGATCATCTGACAGAAGATGATTATCTGAGTTGGTCACTTACCTGGTCCAGTCCAAGAGTGTCCCACAGTGCTGCAGTCCCAGAGGTCAAGCTGGAGGCCGATCCTGGTCAGGGATGCAGAACAGACAGGAACAGACAGAACCAGGCTTCCAGGACTCGTAGAGCTCCCAGAAAGGTTCAGACTCCAACAGAGTCTGGAAGCGTTACCAGGCGGTCACGCACAGGAGCAGACAGGAGCAGATGCAGACGGGGAGGCTCAGTGGAAGAGGGTAGCAGAGACAGGACGTGGAACCAGAACTTGATGCAGGACCTTTAAACTGGTCTCCTCCTTGGAGCAAGGCTTACTTGGATAAAAACTGAACCTCCCCGCGTATAGAGCCAAAAACCCTGAGGACTCAGCAGGGGAGGAACAGTGGACAAGCAGGAGACGAGACAGACCGAAAAACCCTCTTTCCACTAGCCACCAGGATCCAGGACAAGAACCTTGCAATCAACAAAACAAACAGGCTAATAGAAAGACAAATAATGATCTGGCCCCGAATGCTCAGGCAGAACAGAATATAAACCAAAGGAAACAGGTGAGAGGAATAAATGATAGTTGAGGCAGGGAGGGAAAACGACAGGTGAAAGAAATAACCAATTAAGGGAGAGCAAACAGGCCAGATCATGAGAAAAAGGGCAACAACTTTATTTTTTTAAATCATCAATACAATAAAACCATAAAAAACAAAAAAATTGATGGGTCCAAGGGACCTACTGTATCAGTTGCTGTTTTCATTTTCAGGTTGTGTGGACCCAAATGCAAAGACGGAAGTTGTGGTGGTTTCTTGCAGATTTAATGTAGATCCAAAAGGCAACAGAAGCAAGTTCAAAAACCAAAACAAAACAGAAAACCAAAAAACCAGGAGACGTCATGGAAAACTCACATGAGGAGCAAAGAAAAGATGAGCAACCAGCACTGAGACACTGCACAAGAGGAGTATAAATGGGAGACTGAACAAAGACTGGGCTAATGAGCTGACAAGGAGCAGGCGTGGATGGAAGCATACAGAAGGGAGCTAGAGGAAAGAGACTGAAACAAGGGGGCAACAGAGGGTAAACAACATTAGAAATATAACCAAGAAACAACTAGAAAGACACAACATGAAAATTAAACCAATGAAAACTCAAAAAGAAAACTAAACAGAACCAAAACCATGACAATCATATTCTATTTATCATTCATTTATTTATTTTGTGTCAGGTCTTCGGTACAGGGGCCATAACAAGCCCAGGGTCATGGGCACTGGCCCCTGTTGGCCCCCCGTCTAGAAACACCCAAGGTTCTGCTGGAGATACTGAAATTCTGAACAACCTACTTATTGAATAAAAACACAGGATGGCTTAGTGACCATAATGGATTGTGGTCATATGTTAATGCTTAAATATAGAATTGGGTCAAAATGATATATAAAGTAAACATTAATGTATTTCACTAAGTTTGCTCCATAATTTAAATTCTTATTGGTCAAATACCCACAAGCTGATATTTTAAAGCCTTTCTTTCTGTTAATGATGATGATTCTCTGCCTACAGCTAGGAAAAATACATTTAGTTTCTAAGATTACAATACTTAATCTGGGTAATAAAAATAAATTGTTTAATACAAAAGTTTTGGCTAATGAAAAGTATTCAAGTCCTGCTTATATGAAGTTATTTTTAAAAGGTACATTTCATCTGAAAAATTAGCCTTGCTTAAACACATTTTCGCACCAAGCTGTACTTGTAGCGAATTGATTGTGAAAAGAATGCTTTGAGTAACCCCATGTTATATAGATTATCTATGAATGTACCAAACTCTGCACTGAGATCCAGTCATACAAATCCATTGTTAATAAAATGTTGGAGAAGGTATTGTCACTCAATTGATAAATAGCTTGTCTCAATGAAGAAATTGGTGATGATCCAAACCTAATTGGAGAAAAAAAATTGGTTGTATTGGTTGATTTTATCCAGAAGCTTTTATGGTGCAAATCAGGAGTGAGGTTGCCGAAATGAGACTGATAAAGAAAAGCAAAAGGGAGATAACACGAGGGAGGACATGAGCTGATTAAGTGAGGATGAACAGATGGGATTGGCTGATGGCTTGAGGTAGAGAAAAGAACAGAGCAAAAGATAAAGACGGAAGGATGAGCAGAGAAGAAGAGAGGTAGTGGAACAGTTGGGGGGATAAACGACTGAGAGGAAAGGATGAGTCACTAAAACCATTAGCAGGAAATAGGAGGTGACATATTACAGAAAATTCATTTATTGATTGACAGAAATCATGAGATATTAATTATTTAACAGCTACAGCAGTAATCAAAATGTCCGTAGAAGTTTCAGTTATGACTTGTGTATGTTCAGGCATAATGTAGCTTAAATGCAAACAACTGTAAAAAGCTACAGCATCATCAGCAAACATTGGAGATAAAAGATATCAGAAAACCCGCAGAGAACTGTATACCAGGACTAAAAATGCTTTGAGAATCCATTCAATTAAATGAGCTCTGGTCACAGGAACAAGGCTTGGACATGGGTTATATAAGTGTATAAAAGTGTATTGTGTTGCTCAGTGGTTCACTGCCTGATTAAACAAAAATAATATTCTGAGGTCGGGCACCCTAGAGACTGAGACCAATCTGAGATAGAAAAAGATTTAGAAAGGAATAATAATGAATTTGAAGCCAGAGAAGATTGAAATAACTGAGAAGCTCAGCTTTTAATGATTTGGAAAGATTTTCTATGGTTTCATTTGGAAAAAGTCATAAAAAAACAGACAGGAACACATTTTGAAACATAAAATTAGGATAACAGCCAATGTTTCCATTACTCCTCTTTACTGATGAATTTAGCAATATTAATAAAATAGCTCTTTTGTAAGATTTAGAGAGTTTGGAGAGCACATTTCTTTTTATTTACAAAGAACTACGGAGTCTTTCAGTTATATTTGATCTATTCTGGTGCAATCTCTCTACCTAATTTTAATCTGTAAAGTACGCAGCAATCAATTGTATTGCCAAGCGAAGGAAATGGATTTGCACAGTTGGATAATAAGAATACATTTGCAAATCAAGCAAACCCTAAATGTGCGTCTTATTAAAGAGTTGCTCATCTTAAGAGCATGTTTTAAGTAAAACAGTCATGGGAATGGATTGGATAGAATGGATTTTTTTCTAAATCCTATGTTGATGTCCTGTCACTTAAAAAAAATCTGATTTCAAACAAAAAGGTAATATATCTAAATGTTGTAAAACCTGAATATTGATTAGACTATTGAAAGATGTATTGCTTTGTTGATGATATTAATAAGAAGTCTATTACTTTCCTTATTGTTCATTAGTCTTTACACAGTTTATAACAAAGCATAATAGTCTTGATGAATTAAGCCTCGGTTCATTTTATGCAACACTAATCACAATAAATCATTGAACATTTGCAAGCTCAATGTGATGAATAAAATATATTAGCTAGTGTTTGCACACATATATTTGCTAAGCATCTAATTTATGTGTTTGCCTCACAAACTGACAGTGTTCTGTTTTTTCCCTTTAGGCTATCGATGCTTTAAGGCAGTGTTGTTTCTAACTGGCCTGATGTTTGGCTCTGTGGTCATCTTCATGCTGTGCTATAAGGAGAGGGTAATGGACACTCAGCTGAGCGTAGAGGCGTCTGTCGGCATTGGCCTGGGCATTGGGACACTGTGTGGCTTGGTAACCATGTTGGTCCGCAGTGTGGGTCTGTTTATGGTAGGCCTGCTGCTGGGCCTGCTGGTTGGCGTTGCATCACTTGTGGTAATTCCTTTCCTTTTTTCTTTTTTTTACTTTTCAGGGACATTTAAAATACATTGAGATAAAGCATTATTGTTGTCATTATAAGAGATGCACTGATCAAATATTTGTGACCAATGTAGCAATCTCTAGCAGCGTTTTTTTTCAAAGATTTTTCAATTTTATCCAAATTCATTTTTTTATTTATTTTTTTCTGCTGATTGGTTAATCCAGGAGTAGACATCTTACTATCTTTATTAATGATGGTTCTCATGAAAGCCTACTTTAAAATGATGATGTCAGTGATCAGCATTAACTTTTCTAAGTTTCTTTTAAACAATTATATTGCAAAATCAGGTACAAATTTACCAAAGCTGCAAAAGTATAGTAAGAGACCCAATTGACTCACTTCCTTTTAATTACACTGAAGCCCTGTGTTGTAGTTGCCATAATGACTAGCTAACATGCTTCTTTGCAAAATACACTTTTCTTTGAAACAGTTTTATTCATGTCTTTACTTTATCTACATTTATTAACTTCTCACAGAGACTGAACATTTGGAACTTTCAGGTTCCTTTGCTCATTAATTACTTTGAAACAATTCTTGAATTTAAAATGAAAAGTAGAACCAAAGTACATCAATTTAGCAGACAACTTCAGAACTGAATTAAAAAGAACAAAACAAGCTCAGTGCATAAAACGTTGATAGATGCTAATGAATGCACATTTAGGTCAAGAAAAAACTTTGCTAAGCAACTTTACTTGCTGTGGCAGTATTTGCTGGTAGACTTGATGATATGTTGGAAATTAATTTGAGAATAAAATGCACAACTTACTATCTAGTTTCAACTGGCGATCCCTCCCCTTGTTAGAGAGCAATTCCTATTTCAGTATAAGATCAGTCAGATCAGAAGATAAAGGACTCCATTGAGAATAGTTTCAGAGTCTCCCTGCCATAAATGGTCATTAAAAACTTATTAGGAACATATGCAGCTGTGCAGGACAGCAGTTAGTGTGAAACAGGGTTTGCTAATACTTTAAAGTAAAGAAAAATATTTTATAGAGTTAACATGTTAATTTCCTTTAGCAACTATATCTAAACACCATCTTCTGTGATCGTTACCTAGAGTCAGTCCCTCATGTTTTAGAATCTGTCCCTGATTCAGTGTGATAGACAGTGTGATAGACTATCTACTATCACTTGATTTAGAAGCCTGTTATTCACCAATTTATGCCAGGGCATTTAGAAACACTCCCCTAGAGAGCATAGATATGTTTTCAAATTACAGATTGAAGTTTACCGGTATGTCAAAATCACAGAGCAAATAAGCTGTTTTCCACTCAGCCTTTGTGTTATCTGTTGAGCATGTCTCTCCCTTTACTCTTTGAAAAACCAAAGATATGTCTCGACATGTCACAGCAACAAAAGAAAATAAAAAAAGAAATAACATGTCTTAGATAGTTTTAGACTTGGTGGCTTAATCGTAATAACTACAAAGGGCTCGTCATAGTGTATTGACTAATTGGAAGAAAATTAGATTTTTTCATTCCTGGCTGATCTGCCACAGCTCATACTGTAGCTGATCAAAGTGAAATATTTAACATCCAACTAAATTTAAATATTTCAGTAGATAATAATACTAATAGAATAAATTAATAGAATAAATTGATAATAATAAAACTAAATTCAAAGCTTTTCTTTTTCTCAGAAAATTCTCTAACTTTCCAGGTTTGCATCAGTGGTTATAAAGCAATCAACAACCTACTTTTTTCTACAGGTGCTGGTCATAAAATTAGAATATCATGAAAAAGTAGATTGATTTCAGTAATTCCATTTAAAAAGTGAAACTTGTATATTATATTCATACATTACATACAAACTCATATATTTCAGATGTTTATTTTGTTTAATTTTGATGATTACAAATGACAACAAATGAAAATCTCAAATTCATCATATCAGAAAATTAGAATATTGTGAAAAGGTTCAAAATTGATGGCCCCTGGTGCCACACTCTAATCAGCTAATTAACTCAAACCACCTGCAAAAGCCTTTAAATGGTATTTCAGTCTAGTTCTATAGGCTACACAATCATGGGGAAGACTGCTGACTTGACAGTTGTCCAAAAGACGACCATCGACACCTTGCACAAGGAGGGCAAGACACAAAAGGTCATCGCTAAAGAGGCTGGCTGTTCACAGAGCTCAGTGTCCAAGCACATTAATAGAGAGGCGAAGGGAAGGAAAAGATGTGGTCGAAAAAAGTGTACAAGCAAGAGAGATAACCGCACCCTGGAGAGGATTGTGAAACAAAACCCATTCAAAAATGTGGGGGAGATTCACAAAGAGTGGACTGCAGCTGGAGTGAGTGCTTCAAGAACCACCACACACAGACGTATGAAAGACATGGGTTTCTGCTGTCGCATTCCTTGTGTCAAGCCACTCTTGAACCACAGACAGCGTCAGAAGCGTCTAAAGAGAAACAGGACTGGACTGCTGGTGAGTGGTCCAAAGTCATGTTCTCTGATGAAAGTAAATTTTGCATTTCCTTTGGAAATCAAGGTCCCAGAGTCTGGAGGAAAAGAAGAGAGGCACTTCATCCACGTTGCTTGAAGTCCAGTGTAAAGTTTCCACAGTCAGTGATGGTTTGGGGTGCCATGTCATCTGCTGGTGTTGGTCCATTGTGTTTTCTGAGGTCCAGGGTCAACGCAGCCACATACCAGGAAGTTTTAGAGCACTTCATGCTTCCTGCAGCTGACCAACTTTTTGGAGATGCAGATTTCATTTTCCAACAGGACTTGGCACCTGCACACAGTGCCAAAGCTACCAGTACCTGGTTGAAGGACCATGGTATCCCTGTTCTTAATTGGCCAGCAAACTCTCCTGACCTTAACCCCATAGAAAATCTATGGGGTATTGTGAAGAAGAAGATGCAATACACCAGACCCAACAATTCAGAAGAGCTAAAAGCCACTATTAGAGCAACCTGGGCTATCATAACACCTGAGCAGTGCCACAGACTGATCGACTCCATGCCACGCCGCATTGCTGCAGTAATACAGGCCAAAGGAGGCCCAACTAAATACTGAGTGCTGTACATGCTCATACTTTTCATGTTCATACTTCTCAGTTGGCCAACATTTCTATAAATCCTTTGTTTTTATTGGTCTTCAGTAATATTCTAATTTTCTGATATGATGAATTTGAGATTTTCATTTGTTGTCATTTGTAATCATCAAAATTAAACAAAATAAACATCTGAATTATATGAGTTTGTATGTAATGTATGAATATAATATACAAGTTTCACTTTTTAAATGGAATTACTGAAATCAATCTACTTTTTCATGATATTCTAATTTTATGACCAGCACCTGTACTTAATGACTTCATTAATCTCTCATTGTCAAGTATTTTTGTTATTTGTATGTTTTTATAATAAGGTGAACATTTTTAGCATTTTATATATCTTATCATTACAAATTAACTAGGCTAGCCTAGTTAATTAAAGTTAAAGGCCTTGTTTGAAGCCCAGACAAAAAGACATCTCTAAATCTCATGTCAGGGTCGATTTTTCGTAATGCTAATGGTTTAACATGTATATAGAAGGTACCATAGAAAACGGGGAATACTAAGCAAATCTACTGTATTTTTTTTTATCAATTTCAGGTAATGGAGGAATTCTATCATCCTAAAACAGTGTGGGTTCCTCTGGGCATTCTTCTGGGCTCCGGTACATTGTTTGCCGTCCTTACTCTTCAGTGGCAACGCTGCTTCGTCACCTTCTCCACAGCAACATTCGGCTCTGCCGTCATCACAGTCACAGTGGATTACTTTATAGAGCTGTTTGCCTTAGTGCACTACATCTATGAGAGACTCAAGGTCAGAACAGCAGCATAAAGCTGTGTGTTTGAGAGCGTGAGAGATCTATTTGTATTGTAAATGTCAATGTGATAGATGGATGATAGATAGATAGATAGATAGATAGATAGATAGATAGATAGATAGATAGATAGATAGATAGATAGATAGATAGATAGATAGATAGATAGATAGATAGATAGATAGATAGATAGATAGATAGATAGATAGATAGATAGATAGATAGATAGATAGATAGATAGATAGATAGATAGATAGATAGATAGATAGATAGATAGATAGATAGATAGATAGATAGATAGATAGATAGATAGATAGATAGATTTTTCAGGTTACACATATAAACTATACAGTGTGATCAAACAGAAATGTCTTAACATACAGTAGCTTAAGCAGGACATAAAAAGGAAGAACATAAGTTAAGATGTGTATTTTCACTACATCCAAAAACATTTAAAGAAAACGTATTGGCATTTATTACAGGTGGCACCAAAGAAACCTGTCTGCTGGTTTACCTGGGTCATTTTGGGGGTGTGGCCTGTCTTGACCCTCCTTGGAGTTCTGATCCAGTGGAAAGTTACTGCAGAGGGATTCTCTCACACAGAAGGTAAGTATATATCAATGTGGAAGTAATTTTGACACTGTCTTAACAGGAATCCAAAGTAAAATTCTTTTGATGGTGTATTTCTGTCAATAAGAGGTTTCCTGAGAGAGCAATTTGCCTGCTTTCTTCTTCTTAGAAATCAATAACAATACATCCTTATTTTGTTTCATTATTGTTTTTTTTTTCAATAATCTAGTTTCACCTATGTACTAGGAGATAGACTAAATTATATAAACACATCATAGTCTGTGTAAATTCTCAATCATTTACACACACCAGAGTAAAACAGGAAGGGAAATGATATGAGAAGCAAGTGCAAAACATTAAGAAGTATAAATAAATCAGGTCAAATATTTTCTCTTTACATTTTCTCATCAATAATTATGGGTGGAATGCTGTAATCAGAAACTTTTGTGGCCTCTCACTTCTCCAATCTTCATAAGATTGAGTCAATGCAATCAACTGGTTTTCCTTAGATAGAAAACTGAATCAATTTGACTGTATGATCTGGTTGAACTGTAAAGTGCCTTGAGATGACATGTGTTGTGAATTTGGCACTATATAAATAAACTGAATTGAATTGAATTGTGCTGGCAAACCAGCATGTTGGACCTCGCAGGATTGCTTTATCAACATAGCCACACCCATGCCCACACATACACACAGAAGATGTGCAAATAGAGGTTTGATGTAGGGAGAAATACGAAAGAGAAAGGGAGGGGGTATTATTACTCAGTTTTCCTAGCAGATGGTGCCTCATGTCCATATGCACTAAGGAACAATAACACACCACACAAAATGTTCACACACTAACACACACGCAATGTTTCTGTAAACAATATGAGGATATCTTCAACTGACATAAAATTCCTGAATCAACGCTTTTTAATGTTTTCGTGTTAAATAACTGGACAGTGAAGCAACATGGATTCTTGGGATGTTTACTTCTGAAAAGGGGATTAAAATAGCAAGTTCACACTCACCCACTACAGTACAGTATGTAGGGAAACTGAAGAGCTCAGTGCAAATTGATTAAGCAAGGAAATGACTCACCTCAAAAATAGATTTTTTTTTTCTATATTTTCTCTCTTTAAGCTGAATTTTATGTAAAACATCATATATTAAAATGAAAGCCAAATGACAGATTCACAGACAAAATAAAAATTTCCGGTTTACATTTTTTAACCACTCTTCTCTATGTCCTCTCTTCTTGGTATAATCGGCTACATTTGTTCCTCACTGGTTTTCTCTGTTGCAGTACACCCCCTCACTCTTGATTACTATTGTTCTCTTTCTTTCTTCCATTCAAAAATAATCACCCTGCTGTTCTTTTTGACCTTAAGTGGTACTAAGTCGACAGCAACGGCGGGTCCAGCTCATGCGGATCAGACAAAGGGAGGAGAAGCTGAAAAAGGAGAAAGAAAACAAGAAGAAGAAAAAACGTCAAAGCCAGAAGACTACCGTCAAGCAGAAGGTTCATTCCCATCACCACCAACATCACCAGCAGTACCACCACCCAGTGTCCTCCCACACTCATCACCAAAACCAGAGCTCTCAGCAGCCTAAGGTCCCTCCCCCTCCTACACATACAGAACCCGGATATCACCGCAAACCCAATCCTAAAAGACGCTTTGATGGAGATGTGCTTTCTCCGGTAATATTACAAAGCTTTTGTATTCTTAATACTTAATATAAACCGTTGTTATAGATGTTAGTATCTAAACTATTACATAGATTTATTTTTCTTTTTTGGAATCCACTGGTCAAACAACAATACAGATTGTATTGTTTATGGTGTTTTGTTTATTTTTATTGTGCAAAATGTGTCTCAAACAAGTATTCATATTAGGGCTGGGCAATACTGTTTAAAAATCAAATTTACAATTTTTTTCCTTAGATTTTTTTTTGTTGTTTTCCAGTGTTTTTATTGTCATTACATTGTCACAAGTACAGAGCAACGAAATTAACTCTCTGCATTTACCTATCCCCTTGGGGAGCAGTGGGCTGCCATTGTGCGCCACTCAGGGAGCAGTGAGGGGTTAAGGGTAAACTGATTTCACCCACAGGCCAAGGAATGCTTTAATTAAGATTTTTCCAATAATTCGATCTTCATAAACAAAAAATGTAATTTGAATATATTTTATTAATTAATCGTCCTGCCCTAATTAATAACTGTTTCCTTATTTTATTGTGATGCAATGACACATTAGAATGTATTTTATTGAGAATTAATTTGATGGTCCAACCTCAAGTATCACAAAAACACAATGTAAATGAAACATTGTTTTTCCTACAAATAATAACAACATGCAAACTGTGGCATACATTTAAATGTATTCAGCCCCATTAACCATGACACCCCTGTTTAATCAACTGCTGTCAGATGTCTCCTGATTAGTAAGTTTAGTCTAATTTAATAAGCAATATGTGGCTGTTCTGTTAAGACCGCAAACAAACAGAACTATGAAAACATGCCAGACAGATCAAGTATGAAGCTGTTGAGAGGGGTATATCTGCAAACCTACAAAGACATGGCAATCCAATTACATCCTCAGGCCAAGCAAAGAAAGCATTTTAGACATTTACGAAAAATATTGTGTGTGCTGACTGTGTTTTTGCAAAATGGTCTGTCAAATAAAATCTGAATAAAATACATTCAGGTTTTGTGCTTGTAAAGGTACATAATGCAATCCAATTCAGGAGATAATTTGTTCTTTCTTGCTAACTTTTTATGAAACACCTGTTTGCTTGTATACAAAAATAATTTTGTATGATATTTTACCACAAAACAACCACATAACCATTGGCAGTCTGTTTATGATGCCTTTTCTCTGTCCATCCACAGAGCTACATCAGAAGTTTCAGAGACAGACAGACTGAAAGACGGTCATACTCCCACACTCGAATGAGTCGCTCTCGGATGGCTCAACTTGACTACGACTGTGGCTCTCAAGTGCCTCTCACAGTCCCCAGTGGACCTCCAGTTCGGATCTGAAAACATTTAAACAACCACTGCCTCCCTCAAAAACTCTAAGAGACCAACAAAGGTGAAGACTTCATTAAGTCCATTCAACTGCCGGTTTAGCCAACTGAAGCTGATGTCTTCAAGATTATTTAACCTTAAATGGTTCAACCATGTTTGACTTTTTTTCTGCCCATTTAGATCTTTTAGACAGACTAAGGAACCAAGAATTTTATCTTGCAGGGAGCACAAATCAATTGCCATCAGATTATTCCATTTTTGCCTCTGTCATTTTTCTTTTTTTTTGTTGGGGCAGTGGAGAAAACTGACCTGTTTTATATGTAATCAAGTGAAGCGATGTGGAGGTGTCTTTGTCAGTGTGATGTACCATTTGACCTGCAATGGAATTGCTTATATATTGAAATATCAGGGTAATGATAGTTTTGTTCTTTTTTCATTAGGAGTTTTGCTTTGCAAGTTGTTCAAGGATGATCCCTTTTTGCTTTAGTTCTGGGGAGAATGCAGAGCAAACATAAAAACAAAGCTCTTCATTTTTTTTCATGGAGGTCTCTCTGCAAGAAAGAGTATTTTTTCCATTGGCCTTATATTTTTCACCATAGCTTGTAAATTCACAAAATGGTATCTGATCCTGTCTTTTATTTTTCTCCACAAAAATGGAGAGTTTTGGGTGTGAATCGAGCTGAACGGTTCAATCCAAAGAGCTCTTTTTTTAAATTCCCATTTTCTGCATCTTGTGCCATTTTACTTGGTAGACATGTTTACACCTCATTACTGACCTCCCTACATGCTTGAGCCCATGCCTTTTGTTTCTATGTTTAAGTGGACTCCTGAGCCCAGCCCTTCTCTGATGGGCTAGCTTAATTATTAGCAAACATGAGGGGGATTCATTTAAATCTCTGACAAGCATGCTGTACAATACTCTTCCCCCTCTTGTTTCGCCATACACTCCTTTGCTTAAAAGGATTAAATTCTGAAGGTTTTTAGGACATGAAGAGAAGGCCTTAAAGAAAGATTATCTTTTTAAAAAGAGCGAGATAAGATGAAATCATATGCAAATGGCACACTCTAATGTTTACTGCTGGACCTGTCTTTTAGACCTATTCTAGGTCTGTTTGTGTCAACATTGACTTTAATGTTAGCCTCTTTTTAATTAATGGGTTTCTTGTATTTATTCTGTTGAGCCACCATCAAGACAGAACAGATTCAATGTTTCTCAAAAGGAGTTTTATTTTATCTCAACCTTACTTAAACCTGAGATTTTTTTTTTTAAAACGCACAATTACTACTTAAGGAAATGTTACAATGAACAGTGACTGATTAAACTGGCTGAAACGATATTTTACAGTTTGAAGTTCGAGGATAGTTAAGCAAAAGAAAGATATTTGCATTTCAACTTAACTCTTTGTTACTGGATTACAAATTATTTACATCATAATCCACTGTTGCATGACAAAGCGTGTGTTATAACTTTATCCATTGTGTTGTGTTGTCGTTGTTGCCGAGATCTTTTTACCAAGAGTGTCCGGTTGAGTGGAGGTTTGAAGAGGACCCAAATACAGAGACTGAAGCTAAAGTGGTTTATTGGAGATTTAATAACAAAACATGGAAACTGAAGCAAAATCCAAAAATACCAAAATATAGAAAACGTCATGGAAAACTCATGAAGAGCAAAGAAATGACGAGGAAACAACAAAGACCAGGCTAATCAGCAGATTGGGAGCAGGTGTGGACAGAAGAATCTAGAAGGGAGCTAGGGGAAAGGACACTTACACAAGAGGGCAACAGGGGGCAAACAAGAAATACATAAGAAATAAAATACAAACAGAAACACCACAAAATTGGAATGAAACCAATAAAACTAAAAAAAAAAACTTCAAACAGAGCCAAAACCATGACAGAGGGTGAATAAACTCTATCCTTGCTTCTTGGTTCCAATGTCCAAGTAGAATTCTTTAAGAGGTTATGCTTTGTTTTTCAATGGATAGTTCAGTATATCTGAAGTGAAATTACTCATACAGGTATGTAGGTTACATACAGGTAATTATATCACCCTCAGTGGTATAAATCCAGATCAGTAGATTCCAAAAGCTGTAGCAATGTTTTAGTGTTAAACTGAAATAAATCTCATTCTCAGAATCATCATAACCTTTTATATAGTCACTATTTTATAAATTTAAGCTGTTGCCAGATGCACATTCATAATTGATTAACAAAGAAGACGGCCAATTTTTCCACAAGCAAGATAATAGATTTAGTGTACCACTTATGATTATTTTGTGTGAAATATTAGCTGATTGGTGGAATATGGGAAAGCCTTTTTGGTCAGAGTTTTAAAAAAAAGCTCAAATATCCTGCGAGTTTAGGAGAATGTTTTATATGGAATTTTACACTGTCTTACTTTTCTATTTGGTATTTAATCTGACCAGAATATGCTAAACATCTTAGGTTCTCAGGGCACGTTACATAAAGAAAGATTAATATGAGGCACCACCTCCTATTTTAATTTGGTACAGCTATGGTCAAGAAATCTGGTCCTCAGCCAAAGAACGAGATCCCAGATACAAGTGGCTGAAATTAGCTTCTTCTGCAGGGTTGCTGGGCACTCCCTTATAGGGGTGGAGCACCATCTTGAGAGAGATGCTTAAAGTTGAGCTGCCTCTCCTCCACATCGACAGGAGTCAGCTGAGCTGGTTAGGGTATCTTTTTCGGATGCCTCAGGAAGGGTTCCGAGGTTGACCCAGGATAGGATGGAGAGACTGTGTCTCTTAGCCAGCCTGGGAGCACTTTCTAAATTGGAAGTCCCTGGTTCTCCCTGCTTATACTGATGCCCACCCAGTCCCGGATAAAGTGGAAGACGACGAGTACAAATAAATAATGGTTGCATTAACCACACTGATAGTCATTTTACTGGAGTATATTTAAATATAATGTGATAGAAGTCCACTTTTGGTCTCAGATTAGACTTTAGCTTCAGTCTCATTGATCAACTAATCTTAATTTATGTATATGATACTAAGATAGTTTTCAACAGCAGACAGCTGTACCTTGTAACAGAAGCTCAGCTTTAAAAAAATCAGAGCTTTTAATTAAAACCATCTTCTGTTCCACTTCATTGTAATACTCCTGTGGTCTTTCACCATAGTCTCCGTAGTGGTGTAATTTTATTTTTTGCTTGTACCTCAGTCCTCTGTTTTATTTGACCTACTTGTGTTTTACTGTAGTAGTGATGTATGTTATCATATGTAAAAGCTAATCATTGGTTCCTCTCTTGCTTGTAATTGTTAAAGAAATCTGGTCATTCTTCAATGTATATCGCTTCTTCTTTTCATGTAGTACAACATTTTGATTGTAGATACTGACTTGTAAATAACTTTTCAGTCTGCAAATATTTGATTTTGTTATTAACATTAACATTATGCTGTGTTTGTTTTTTTCAGCTGAATATTTTTAATGGAGTAGACCCGTTTATGCTGTAAACCTGCTCTATGTTATTGATTTGACCTAATGTAAATATATCTTTCTCATCCTGCTGTTTAAATCTGTGATGATAAAATTCAGGAGAAAAATTTTAAACTTTAATTTGAACTTGGCTCTGACTCTTATTATTGTCACACAATTAGTTAAAAAACAAACGTCTACTAGGGAGATAACTTTGGTACTGGATTTAATATGGATGTACAGACAGCCCCTCTAAGCTCTGACTGTAAAATTGTAGTTCAGAGGCGTTGACTGCATGATAATAGTTGTCCTATTAAATGAATTTCACAATGTTTGTGATTATGGTCTAAAATGATGTTGTTTTACTGACCTGCTACACATAGATATATAGATGTAGGGAAGAAGAAGAATATATATATATATATACACTATATTGCCAAAAGTATTTGCTCACCTGCCTTGACTCACATATGAGCTTAAGTGACATCCCGTTCCTAATCCATAGGGTTCAATATGACGTCGGTCCACCCTTTGCAGCTAGAACAGCTTCAACTCTTCTGGGAAGGCTGTCCACAAGGTTTAGGAGTGTGTTTATGGGAATTTTTGACCATTCTTCCAGAAGCGCATTTGTGAGGTTGCACACTGATGTTGGACGAGAAGGCCTGGCTCTCAGTCTCCGCTCTAATTCATCCCAAAGGTGTTCTATCGGGTTGAGGTCAGGACTCTGTGCAGGCCAGTCAAGTTCATCCACACCAGACTCTGTCATCCATGTCTTTATGGACCTTGCTTTGTGCACTGGTGCACAGTCATGTTGGAAGAGGAAGGGACCAGCTCCAAACTGTTCCCACAAAGTTGGGAGCATGGAATTGTCCAAAATGTCTTGGGATGCTGAAGCATTCAGAGTTCCTTTCACTGGAACTAAGGGGCCAAGCCCAGCTCCTGAAAAACAACCCCACACCATAATCCCCCCTCCAACAAACTTTACACTTGGCACAATGCAGTCAGACAAGTACCGTTCTCCTGGCAACCGCCAAACCCAGACCCGTCCATCAGATTGCCAGATGGAGAAGCGCGATTCGTCACTCCAGAGAACGTGTCTCCACTGCTCTAGAGTCCAGTGGCGGCGTGCTTTACACCACCGCATCCGACGCTTTGCATTGCACTTGGTGATGTATGGCTTGGATGCAGCTGCTCGACCATGGAAACCCATTCCATGAAGCTCTCTGCGCACTGTTCTTGAGCTAATCTGAAGGCCACATGAAGTTTGGAGGTCTGTAGTGATTGACTCTGCAGAAAGTTGGCGACCTCTTCGCACTATGCGCGTCAGCATCCGCTGACCCCGCTCCGTCAGTTTACGTGGCCTACCACTTCGTGGCTGAGTTGCTGTTGTTCCCAAACACTTCCATTTTCTTATAATACAGCTGACAGTTGACTGTGGAATATTTAGGAGCGAGGAAATTTCACGACTGGATTTGTTGCACAGGTGGCATCCTATCACAGTTCCACGCTGGAATTCACTGAGCTCCTGAGAGCGACCCATTCTTTCACAAATGTTTGTAAAAACAGTCTGCATGCCTAGGTGCTTGAATTTATACACCTGTGGCCATGGAAGTGATTGGAACACCTGATTCCAATAATTTGGATGGGTGAGCAAATACTTTTGGCAATATAGTGTATATATATGTATATATATTAAGGGTGTGCAAAATAATCGTCATGACGATGCATCGCGATTCTAATTTTTGTGATCTACTGCATCGATTCTTGAAGGCCAGAATCGATTATATAAAAAAAAAATAATGAACAAATAAAATACATTAATGGTTGGCGCACATCAGCCAAATCAAGTGGAATACAACTTCCAGTCCAGCAGATGTCGCTGCGGATGTGTTGACGCCCGCTGCTTTGTGTCACAAGCATGTCTGGCCGCGGGATACTGAGACGAGTCATTCGTAAACAAAATATGGAGGAGACTGAGAAAATTCGCCCCCCCGGCTCCATCACATTTCAACAGATGCTTGGATGCATTCTGGCTTTAAAAACAAAGAAGGTAAAAATGAAATTGATATGATGCACGTAATTTGCAAAAGGACCACTGAGGCCATGTAAACGGCACTGATTATCCTTATTTTGTTATTTCAAGTTTGATGAATCCTAAGATCTTTTTATCAGTGTGTCCACGCCAGTAATAGTAGTATTTCTGTCCAGCATTTGTTTTCATGGCAACACCTCCAAAAGTCATTTCAATAAATACAGCTATGTATGAATTCAGTTGCTTTCAGTTATGTATCAATTTAAGACACTATCCAGATCACACACAGCCAGTCAGCCACTGGTAAGGGCTGTATCTTTTTCTTACAGTGTTCAGTGAAAATATCGCAATGCATCGCAATATTTCAAGTATCGTGGTGCATCGTGATAGAATCGCATCGTGGCATGTGAATCGTGATTTGAATCAATAATGACTTCTTTGGCAATACCCACCACTAATATATATATATATATATTCATGAAAACAGTAAGTGCACTGTAACAGCTTTCTTTCATTTGAGTCAGAAAGATAAATCTCAAATTTTAAGCAGGAATAACTGCATTTTTTATTCAAACAATCAAAATTTAACTTACCCTTTACTTAAAAATTCAGTCCAGGGTCTTGTTTCAGATCAACAGGCAAATATGCCATTTATTTTACTCAATTACCAGCTGATTTTATTTCCCAATTTAAACTTCAACTGCATAATTTGTGGTAGATACATAGTATCAGTTTCTTAGGTATTTGATCCCTACCACTGGAAAATATGCTAAATAAAAACAACATTTTTTACACTGTTTTTGCCATTTTGGACTAAGTAATGTTACTTATCAGCAAATTAAGAATGTTGAGTAAAGTAAAAAAAAATGTAATTATTTTTAAGTTATTATTTATGTATATCCAAATATGAACTGATTGGGATTGGTTTGACAGACTTTGGTCCTTTTACATATTTATTTTAATAAAACGTAGTGCAGAGTAGTTGTTTATTTTTAATACCATGACATTGGAGTATGAAACATTTATCAAAAAAAAAACCTATCTTGTCATTTTACGCTTTGATTTGAGCAAACACCCCAACCTTCTTTCCTCATAAAGTCCATAGCCCTTTGAGAAGATGATATTGTATTGTCTGTTCATCTGGCTTTGATTGCCTGAATATTAAACTTTGAATTACATATTTTGCTTTTATCTTTGTGCAGTTTTCCACCAGTTCATATTGTGTCTCTCATGACCTAAATGGCTTAAAGCACTGAAAACTAGAAGCAATGTTTAAGAAGAGATCATAAAGTAAGTTAACTTCATTTTTGAAATGTGCTGCCCTTTGCTGTTGACCTACTATATA